AACAACAGCAACAGAAAAGAGAACTTTTAACTTAATCCTCTGAGCTCTGTGAGCGCTAACCTGGAAGCTGCTGCTGCCGCAGTGCATGCTGGGTAAAGAGGGAGGGGCCAGAACGACATCCGGGGACAGTACGTTTTCTCGGCAGTCGTCTATAATGAGGTCAGGATGTTTTAGCATCATAGCATCATCTGTTATAAACCAATCAGTCGTTACTAATTGCAGAGTAGTTCTGCCATCCATAGCAGTTAGCATGCTAACAGTTAGCTTTAGAGCACAGTAACTTTGCTAGAAGAATAAACGGCCGATCTTCAGAGATTCAGCTGATGTTTGTAGGAAGAGTGGATTTCAAACGATGCTAAAAAAAAATGCATGTTACTGAGGCAGCAGATTTTTCTGGGTTTTTTAATCACTAACCAAATAATAGCAAAGATGAACCCACTTCATGGCGTGCAGTAGAATGTGTTTTTTATCATGTGGGAAGCGTGTGACCGTTGGAGGCCGAGGCGGCTTTAAACCAGGTCAGAATGGCCTAAAGTCCTGCTGCTTGCTTTACTGTTTAAAAGGAAACTCTGAGAAAGGTTAAATGAAGGCTCTCTTTCCACTAAGCTGTGTCACAGTAACAGAGATGCCTCATAATCTGCATTAACCCCCCCTTTACTAAATGCATCCTATAAGCTGATAAAAGTTGGATTTACTCCAGTGTCGGTGGTTGGACTGGTGAACGATACGCAGACATGTCAGGTTGGAACTAATCCCGGATGAGTAACATCTTATGGAAGCTTCCAGAGGGGGGGGGGCTCTGAATGCTCCCCGCGTTACGGTGGGAGCGTCTGAACGTCCAACAGTTAAAGGAAACAGTCTGGGAGGTTTTCTGTGTTCTTCGTGTTTTAATTTAGATTTCCGACTAAATTAGGTTGATTCTCAGAAGGATTTAATCCAGGAATATTTCATAGGGTGTCCATCTTGGTTTGTCACATCTTTGTGAGGTGTAGGGGGGGTCTGGGGGAAATTTAGACTCTGAAATGCTATTTCCTGCAGAAGCAGCCGCTTTAGACGGAAAGCTTCTGGTTGATCACAGTAAATATAGCAAAGCTGCTCTCTGGCATCGAACACAGGAGCAGCAGAAGCATCAGCTGGACTCACTTTACTGGACGGCTGAC